CACACACACACACACACACACACACACACACACAAACACACAAACACACACACACAAACACACACAGTGCTAACCGCTGCATCATCGCGTCTGTGTAACTGTTAATATTTCTACAGTGTGTAATTAAGTAACAACCAAATTAATGACTTAATTGAGCATTCAGCACAGCAGACTCCTCAGTGCTCGCAGTCCATTAAATTAACATCACACCTGACTTGAATTCGGCTGAATCTTTGAAGTTCTCTGCGTCCGACCACTGTGTGGTTCATGTTTTACGTTTTCTGTCCACTTGCATTTCTGTGCATCTGTGATGGACCAACACTGACCTAACACTTTCAACTGGCGTATGAAATTGACCCGACACTGGTAATGAGAGCTGGGTTTCCAGCTTTCAGCGACCAAGAACCAAAGGTGGCGTATCAGGTCAGGAGACTTGTGGTTTGTTGGCATGCGTATGGTTTTGTGCACGCCGGGCTCACACTGTCAAAGAGAAGTTCTGTGCAAACTGCAGCTGAGCTTTTTGGACAAGCTTCACTAACCGCCCACACTCCCCACCAGACATTTTCCTCTTCATCACATCCTGTACTATTCACTACTGAGAGCCTTCCTACTGTCATGTGCTGTTCTATTGCACAGTCATTGATATTTTCTATTCCGCACTAATAGAATACTGCACTATATGGTTCTAATGTGTACAAATATATACTATATTCTTGCATTTAACTAACTCTGCATCATTAAGCTGTCTGACGGCACCGTATGGCTGTGAGACAGCTGCAGCTGGGCTGTGGGGTTATAAGGAGTGTCTTCGTCCTTGCAGTTCATTTTCACAGTCAGATAAAAAAAGTAAAGCATTGTGTGTATAACATGTGTTCAGAATTGAGTTATGACTCCAAGCACAAATGTGATGTCTGATGCAAAATGCAGCAATTCAACGCAGAGCATTTTGAAATGTGCTAATTGTCACCGAGAGCTGTGTGCTGGAGCAGGTTCTGCAGAACACGCTGTTAATGATTAAGTTCAGTGGTTCAAACTACAACAATTAACTTCCTGTTATTTTCAGAACATTGCAATGGATTTGCCTCCTAGTTCTCAGGAGCTGATGCTAAAGCTAAGCTACATGTTAGTGAGCTTCCGTACAAACATAGCATAGTTTATTCAGTTTTCCACACTACACGCTCACACAAGCCGCACACTGTCAGACGTGTTGGCTGAATAAACAAACACTTGGATAATTGATTTTCAGTGAAAAATGCTTGGACACACATACTGAGGAAAAGCTAAATCTCACTGCTGCATCCAGACTTCCATCTCTGCACGGCCATCTTGTTCGGGGGGTTTGAATACAGCTATGTTAAAACTGAACAACAAAGACTAACACTGTCCAGCTGTTGTTTTTTGAGTGTTTAATTTGATACATAGCAGTGATTTTTTGATTTAATATCACGTGACTGACAGACACTTGTCAGGTGAAAGAAAGAAGAGCGTGTCCCTTCAAATTTAAATGACTCGTCTCATGTTTCTGTATCTGTTTCATAGCCTGTTTTGGATTTTTTCCAAAGGATAAAGTTAGAAGACAATCATGGACAGTCATGACTTGAACTGATTCATGATGATGTTTTAACTGAGCACAGACCTTTTTATTTCTTTAGTGAGCAGACAGCATTGAAAAGGACAAAGTTAGCAGAGAGCCTTGAACTGGCTTTTCCTTGGGTGTGGGCAGGATCTCAGCGGTCTCTATCAGCACTGTATTTCAATACATGGTGGCAAATGGCTGCGACACTGCAGGCAATGATGATGTGTTACGTACTGTCCTGCAGCTCCCAGAGCCGTGGAGGAAGGTTGCTGAAGTATTCATGGTTCAGTGCTGCCTGAGCTGACAGCCGGTTCTTTGGGAAGCACTGGAGGAACTTGGAGGCCAACTCCTCAGCATGGTCCACATAGCCCAACCTTAAACACACAGTTACACATAGTCAGACACCAGAGTGACACCGAAAAGACACGTGAACAGTATATCTGGAGATACATTCATCGGAAATAGGCAGTAAAGGCATCCAAGTAAAATACAGTCAGTTTGTTCTAAACACAGACAGAGCAACTTTCTCCAAATCACAGAGCTGCTGACAACAAGCAGCAAGCGGTTTAATTATGCTGAAGGTTTGCTGACTCGAGAGGAAAAACACATCTAAGAAACGCACGCATGCAAAAGCTCACACCTTTTTCTTTTGAGTCTGAATCATACATGTTGACTGGGTCACCGTGAGAAACAATGAAAGGCCTCATTAAAGAAAGACTGTGTGTGTGTGTGTGTGTGTGTGTGTGTGTGTGTGTGTGTGTGTGTGTGTGTGTGTGTTCGTTCGAACTGGGAGTCACTGAACTCCTGAACCAGCCCAGCTAGCAGCGCCGAGGGAGAGGAAAGATTGAAAATAAGCGAATAGCAACAAATTCAGTCAGTAATGAGGCATCTACTGCATTAAATAAACATGATGTTATTCTGCGCTGCTCACCGGCCCCACGCTCGCAGTACTCAGAACGCCTCTCGTGTTCTCTGGGTTTCTCGTGGCTGAGTCCCTAGTCAAGCACTCTGACAGCCACTCCCATGACTCTCAGAGGGGATCTCGACTCAACTTACCAGCGGAGAGATGCAGGGAGGATAACTCTCTGTTCAACTCATCAACGCCACTCAGAACAGAAGCAGAGATAAAGTTAATGAAGTCCATCAGGGCCTCTACAAGCTTCTTTCTCATACTGAGTGTAACTTTACTGAAAACTTTGAAGACAAACCAGACAGTGTGTGAAAGTGTACCGATAGATTAAGGCCTGCTGTTCTGCGGTTTTGTGTTTTAGAGCCAAATGATAACATTAGGATTAAGATGAAAGAGGTAACAGCCATGATTTTGTGCAACTATTTAATATTTTGGAAGCTGAAGCAGACAAAATACCACAAAAAAGGTTAAAGAAAGAGCTTCATTAAACAGAAAGCATCCAGGTGTCATGTTTTGCTGTGTGGCAGGCAGGCGGAAAGACCCAAATGACGGACGATTAAACTCAAAGCACAACTTTATTCGCTGGATACACTCGCCATAAGAAATTACCTCTACAAAAGACTCAAAAACCTTGTACATGAACTAGAACCCAAACTGGACTCAGGAAACTAAAACGATGAAACACAGGCAACTGAGGAAACGTAGGCAACGCAGCGACTCGTGGGATACAGGAAAAGAACAGAGCAGACATGGGAACAGAGACTAAACACAGGCTAAGGGAGGAAAAGCTACGATCACTAGGAACTGCTCTTGGGTTTTTTAGTCTTTAAAAGGAAGAAAAACTAATCAGGCCTATTGTCCAGGCTAACAGTAAGAAAACGATAGTTATTTATATTAAAGAGCGTTTTCTAAAACTATGCTCTTCAATAATCAAAGTGAATTACACACTGTGGCTGCTGTTAGCAGCACTAGCACCAACAACCTCGTTTCCTTGCAGGTTCACATCCAAACACCTGTGTAAAACGTGGTTACTCATCGCTCCTGCTCAGGGATTATATGTTGGTTTTCTTAGTGGCAGTCTGAAGGTAACCATTCATTCTTTACTGGAAAAGAGAGAAAGCGCACTGCTGCCTGCTAGAGCTTGGGACTGTAACATCCTAGACTTCCACTATCCCACCTGTACAGTTTACAGGTGCAGCTTGCCAGTGTTAGCAGATAACTAAACACTTCACTCGCTCCTCTAAATCCGCGGTCCCCACCCCAGAACCAGTCCGTGAGCTGTTTGGCACCAGGCCGTGAGAGTTGAGGCTCGGGTGTGGAATTTATGGTTTTCAGGGTTTTTATCGCTAACTCGGTTTCCCTGGGTTTTTCCCGTGTTGTAGTTGTGTGTCTTATTTTGAAAGGAATATTTACACGTTACCATAGCGACCAGAGAGCATTAAGGGGAAGAGAGGAGAATAATACTCTAATTGTTGTTGGCGCAGTTCAGGAGGACGCTGTGAATAAAGTTACAGAGTTACACAGTGAATTCACGTTTATTATTATATTTACAAAATACCACAGTTTTTGTCTTCGTCATATTATTTTATTTTATAGACCAGCAGACCGTCGCAGACCGGCCTTTAAGGTGTTGCAGTCCGGTACCAAACGACTCACGGACCAGTACCGGTCCGTGGTCCGGGGGTGGGGGCTGCTGCTCTATATATCGTCCCTGCTGGCTACAATACATACATCTGAATTTTCACTACCACACATGAGTGAACAACATGTAACTGAAGCCACACCAGCTCACACGTTGCTGTAACAAAGTCCTTGTCCAGTGTTGGGGAACCAGGACGTCTTGATGAGAAATGAGGCTACTAAAACTAAGGCATGAGAACATTAAAGTAATAGACAAAGAAGCACCTGGCAGCTCAGCGCTATAATATTGAAGCTGGAGACCCAGAAGCTGCAGCACAGTGGAAGCAATTGTGAGCAGTATGGACCAACTGCAACAGCAGCTGCATCTACTGAGCTGAAGATGAAAACTGTGGCCGAAGTCAAGGTGGCCTCCAAACCAAGAGCATCACTCCTTAGGTCACCGATAGTTAGGGCTGGGTGATATGGCCTAAAATCCACATCGCGGTATAATTTGAAGCATGTGCTGTAACGATATATATCACAATATATTCTTTTCTTCTGTATAACGTATTTTCCACCCTATAAAATCCTTTAATTTTCTCAAAAATTGAGAGTGTGCCTTATGTATGGATTCTGGTTGTGCTTACTGACCTCGAACCGATTTGGGCAGAAATCTGTTAAAAAATGTTTTAGTACAACTTTGGTAAGCTGCACTGCTTGATGGCTCGTCAGAGCGTTACGGCTGCCGTAGTGAGGAGCTTCGCGGAGTAATCTGGGTCCAAAACTCCGTCAGCTTCAGGTCCCAAAGTCAAAGGAACAATGAGAGTTAAAAACGGTCTAAATTCTTTCATCTTTAATAAAATCATCAGCGTTGCTGCTTTACCAGGTGTAACAATTAAGTTTAACATCCATGAAAACAGAATTTATTAATTTTAACGGAGCTAGAAGTTAACAGGAAGTTAGCTCGCTAGTTTACACCTAAACAATCACTAAAACTGAAAAATCGATATAATTAGCCTGCTTTTCAATCAGTCAGCAGATTAACTAATAATCTATACTGAGATGAAAACTTGTCCCCTGGATGTAAACAGGGGCCACTAATTTATATTACTGTGAGGTTAATATGACCATGTCCCAAACTTGCAGCTGGAATGATAAACTCTACTGCATTACAAACAAATCTTCCAGTGAAACCTTATGAACGTGCCTTTGGTTAGTCGCAGTCTGTAAGTGAAGCTGGATTCAGGTGTTGTCTTTTCTCTGCAGGCGCACAGAGTGCAGGCACATAGTTGTTGGTGTGAAGTCTCCTGGATATCAGTATGTTGGCCTTTGAAAGCTGCTGATGCATGGTAGGTGTGCATTCCTTTCTGCTATTGCTGCCAACTTAGCTGAGCGAACGAGCCAACATCTGCATTAAGATCGATAGTGTCTCCTGTGGCTATCAAACAGATCTAGGTGATGACACATTCACAGCAGGCTGAGGCATTCCTTCTTCACTGGAGCATGGCAAGTGCTTTTTCATGGTAATCCATCAAAATAACTACAGGAAGGACTTTCGAGAAGCGAGGGCGAGGAGACCACCTGCCTCTATTGTCTCGTCACCACAACTGAAAGTAGCAGAGGAGACCTTTCATCTCGGCCACTCGGAGCTGTTTAGGTAGAAAGCTTTTGTGTTTTTTGTCTGAAGAATTTCTATGAAATGCTTTCACCATGTCTGACTAATTTAATGAGGAGATTGTTGAATAAAAACCAAGTGTGAAGGCAGCAACACATGACCAAACAGGCCCCAGTGCAACTGATCTGAGGATAGTAGTAGTAGTTTTCCACCTCACTTTTCGTTTAATAAAGTAATTGTAGTACTCCGTGGTGAGTTTTACCACTGGCATATACTCCTGCTTATACTTAGTCTGTGCACATCGCAGCAACCTCATGCACAAAGACTACCCATCCATGTTCCTTTAGTACCTACAGACCATCATTTAAATGTCAAAGCCAGCCTGGGTTTTTATGTGTACCCCATCTTCTAATGCAGGGGTCTCAAACTTTATACATAAATATTTAAATAACAGATCTGATCATCCAGTTGTTCTCCCTCTCGCCTCCAGGGGCACCGGGGTTCAACAGGTTATGTGTTTACTGTTTAATTTCTTTGTGAGGTATGAACGGCCATAAGGGAAATTTGTAGGAAAAAACTGCAAAACTTGTGCAAATACAGTTAAAAGTAAAGATTTCTGCTTGTGGTTGTTTGTGTTGAGCGGCAGATCAAACAAGAATTATAAATGGCTTCCAGCGCACGTTCAGGCCTGCGAGACTCATTTAGACACTCGATATCACTGACATGCAGACAGACGATGATTTTACGTTTTAACTCATTTATTCACTTCTCTCGACACGCTTGTCTTTAAATCGGGCTTCACGTCTCTCTGGCCCGTACCACAGAACGTCTGCCCCCCTTCCTTCTTTCACACAATGGTATGATCCCAGTGTGTCGTTGCGTGTGATTGGCCACATGGTGTGTCGCACCCCTGCCTGCATGGATTCACAGCAGGGCGGAAGTTTCGTCTCCCACGTACTGTTGGGATATTAATAATATGACATTTTTAATGGGCCAGATGTGGCCCGCGGGCCGTACGTTTCACACCATGTCACATGTTCAAATCATCTCAAACTGGCCAATCAGACATCAGCAGTCACCAGATATAAACTCAAACCTTTGGAACGGTCGAGCCACATCATGCATGTACAGATCTTTGAGGAACCACCGTCCATTTTGAATCTATGCCACAAAAAAGGTCTGACGAGGTGTAACTAATGAAGTGTCCGCTGAGTGTATTTTTAGGCCCTAGCAGCAGTTGGTGTGAAGTGAGGGAAAGATCTGGTTTACATTTCATTTGCATTTCAACAAAAACCTTTCATTTCAAAGCTGCTGTTGTTGCTGCGACCTGACCACAGCGCCGTGTTTTGTACTTTTGTCACCTGTGACGCAGACTTTAAATGCAGTGCTTTAGCAAAAACTTTGCCTCTGGCCTTTGGGGGAAACAACTGTACTACAATACACGTCAAGGCACACAAACACATAAAACCCCCATAGACACAGATTGATTTCCTGTCCATCAGCCGTCCGCATTTTCACAGCTGGAAGAAAAACAGTGCAGCAGAGAAAAATGGCTGATGGAAACCAGAAACACAGAGAGCACGAGGGGGTGAGCCAAGTCTCAGGGCAGGACATAGCGAGTTCATATCGAATTCACCGTTCCCTGGACTGTGATGAAAGGCAGTTGAGAGGAAGTGATGGCCATTAACATTCCACCTCACTTTCTTTCTGCAAATTTTTATTTCCTCCTGGACTCGAGAAAATCAGGAGACTGGGCGGGACCGAGGAATCCACCGCAGCTAACATTTATGTCTGCTTTTCATTTGTCCTCGGATGCTTCAGTTCACTTCTTTAACCTCCTAGAACCTGGCGTCCACATATGTGGACATCACATTTTGGGTTATCTAGACCAAAATACTCAATTTTGCCTGATATCCACTTACAAGGACATTATCCTGCTACTGTTCTATCAACATTTTAAACGAATATCTTCATATGAGGCTCTGATTTTTCTTAAAAACAAAAATAAAGTAAAAAAAAAATCTGGTAATTCTTTGTTTTTACATTCATCGGGTCCCAATCAGCCCGAATAGCAAAGAGAAATTAAAAATGCTGCAGTGGAAGAGTTCGGGTCTTAGGAGGTTAAAGGATCTTTCTATTAAAATCATTATACTCTACATTAGTTGCTTTCAAATCAAACCCATCCAACTGAAATACTTACTCTGAGAACTTGTGGATCAACTCTTTGATATTTGGATCCTAAAGTAAGCCTCTCAGAAACACGTCGAATTTCATACCATATAAAACACCAACCAGCCAATGAGCAATTAACTGTAAGTGTTGGGGTCAAACTGATATCCCCAGCTGATGTTACAACCCAGCGTATAAGCTTAAAATCCCAAGTGTTTCAGTTACTAATCAGTTTATATTATGAACCCTTTCATGCATGAATTATGACAACCTCAATCAGGATTTTTATCCATCTTTAGGCATGAAAAAAAGATTTTTGACCTTCATTTTTTAAACGTACTTTTCAAAGACTTTGTTACATGTCCACTTAGGTGGACAACAGACGTTCTGACTCATGAATTTAGTATGGAGTGGCACATCAGTGTTCAACGTAGTGGTTTATGTGCAAGTATACCATCAACACTGACACAAACACACTCTAAAAAGTAATTCAGAGGCTTAGTAAATATCACTATAAATATAAGTTAGATGAGCCTGATAGAATCTGTGAATATCCTTTTAGTAATTATTTGAGTTTGATGAGTGAAATAAATTTTACTAAAATGTTAACATATGTGTTTGTGTTAATTAAGGTATTTATTTACATTTATCTCAGACAAAAAATGCAGTATGTGGTTCACAGAATACCTTCTTTGCATGTGCCTAATATTTCTGTTTAAAATTGAATCTAAATATTTGAGAAATATGTATCTATACTCATCAGTATCTTGTACTAAAATCATTCATTATTCAAATCAATATTATTTATTGTCAGCATCTACAACTGAAAAGTGTAAGTAAAACAGGATAACGTGGAGTAATTGAGTACCATGAGCCTTTGTTTTGTTCATTTTGTTTTTTAAATACTCTGAGCGTTTGTGTTTGCGCTCCTGGTTTGACATTCATCCTTCAGGTATGTGAGGCTTTGAGCTAAAAGGGGAAAGGCTCTTGTCTTTTTAGTGCTTGTTTATTTCGAGTTATTGCCGTGTTTATGAAAATACATTTTTCATTTGGAAAAATGTTAACATGTGGTCATTTTTCACACATGTATTATGAAACACACGACTACATATCAGTTGGTCTGGTTTAGACGTAGACTACCAGTGAAATATAATAACATTCATATTTGAATGTTAGTATTAAGTACAATTTTGATTACGTTCAGTTTACAATATTAAATAAATGGAACAAAAATATATCTATATTTCATGTTTGTGTAAAAACTACAATTATTCATTTCAACTTAATATGTTTAAGCTTTAGTTATTCAATTGATCAAGTATATTGAACAGATTTGACTGGTTTAAAAATGTAAAAATGTCAGTTTTAGTTTTTAGAGAAAACAGCCGTTGAATAGCTGTCCACTGTAGTGCCCACTACGTGTGAAAGGGTCGATATTAATTTGGGGGTAAAATGTATAACTGCAGCCAGGAGAACACGACGGCGTGGAGCCTGAAATAAGTGCTGCAGGGATGATGTTTTGTATGTCATCCCAGACGTTAGCATCACTGTGGCCCCCTTAACAAAGAGCCATGCTTCTGCATTATCGTGTAACATTAGCTTCACACGAAATAAAAGTGTATATGATCATTTCCATAAGGAGAAATAACAGTTTGAAGCATGACTACACATCGTCAGAAGTAAAACAGCAACATTAGGATCTAAAGTAAATGAGACCATTGAGGTAGAAGTCAGCGTCATCACCACGAAACGTTTGTATTTTGTATCATAGGACACTAAATGTCCTCAACGATGTCTGTACTCTCTCTGATCCACTTGTTAGCAAATGCATATTATATGAGAAAGTGTGACAACATGTAAGGGTTACACTGAATAAAGACATCTAACCAAGAACTCATTCAGAAAGATCAGTGATTTGAAGATGAGGGAAGCAGAAGCTGAAAAACCATTTCCAGGTTTTAGGACTTACTGTCCAAAGATTAAAATCCAAGTGTAAATTCGAAACTAACTCCCTGGTTTTCATGTCCTGGCACTAAAGAGCACACACTGAGGGCATGTTTTCTAGCTTTGAATCTTGTTATTGACAGTTATCATTATAAAATAAAATACACTGATGCAGATGACTCTGGCGATAATTCATACAGCGGCAGAATGTTTGGCACATCATGGGAAGTAATTTGTGGCAGATTCTTTACTTTCCAGATTAGAGGCGCAGCAGATTCTCTGGGGATTAAGGATGACCTGTGTAATTATTCCAAATCACAGGATGCACGCAGGTCTTAGGTCCTGTGTGATGACGGCTTTAGTTAGTGACGACGAATCTTCGTTCCAGCAGCTATACTTTGTGATTGTAGCTGAATAGACAGCTGGAGTTTTATAGAAATCACTTCCCTGCTGCTTATTTCAAATTCCCTCTGGAAAACAGTCACACTCCCCTTTTGCCCGCCGTTGTCTCCACTCCAGATGTACGCCTGGGGCAAACAGTGGCACACATCTGGGAGAAGCCCTGACTGCCAAGCCCTGCCCTTTTCCTGCCTGATGTCGCACAACACAAGTCACACATATGATGTTGCAGTAATGCTGCATGCAGGCTTGTACACACACACACACAAACAGCTCACTTACTTATTCCAAGCTTGTCTGAGCTTCTTTGCGCTGTACACTGTAAAGCGGTCTGCAACGAGAAAAAAACAACAAGCAATTAAATGGCTGCACTAAGAGCTGCTGCTGGGTTAATGACACACACCTGCTAAAACACCTTCGAACCAAACTTCTACGTGCACGTCTCAGCAAATTACGAGACATAGATGCTGCAATAATTAATTGCAAACTACGATTTTTCAAATAGTGGCAGGGCCTTAGCTTAGCCTCACAGAGAAGGCCGCCTAGTTTCAGATCTTCCCTTGTGTTAATTGGCTGCTAATCTCCACCCAGCACAGCTCACTGCTGCAGTGTTGCTATTGTGTTTCTGTCTTTTTCAAATCGGGCCATTTTCACTTCCATATTTTTATTCTTGGATTCTACTAGAGTAGTTCTGCAAGATTCAAATCAAAATAATAAAAAAGAAATAAACATAGCCTCGGTGCTTTTAGTTCCTATTGCTTTAAGGCAGCTCCCTTTTGATTGGCTACCTCTTAGATTTGGACACATAGCAGGGGCTGTTTATCTTTGATGATCATGTCCTATAGAGACACACGTCAAACTGAGCGGTTTAAAAATGGCAGTAAAACATGCAAAAAAATACATTTTGGTAAAGCAAGTACTTTGAATCGGTTAGTGCTGCAGTAACTAGCTTGTCAGACTTTAACTGCAGCTTCATGTGAACCACAATCAAAAGCTTAAATACATTTAGTTTGGGATCCATCTCAATCTTCTTTGGTTCTCTGGCTCTGCAGGCAGCACCTCATCCGGAAATACATTTTTTGGTCCCACATTTTAGAACCAAAGCTAACAGTTTGCCACAAAGGCTAGTTCCTACTTTATACAATCACACTCATGAAAAGTGCAAACACAAATATACATGCAATGTTGTACAAAGCTGGCCTGTCACTGTAAGTTATACCTTCAACACTGTGCTCCTCAGACTGAGCTGTGCCGGACAGTTCACCGGATCATCTTAAAGGAATGCAGCCACAGTCAATGTAATTAATTCTTTGTCTGAAATCTTAAAAATGTGTGCTGTAGTGAAGGCCTGCGACGACCAGGCAAAACAGCTTAATGTTATCACACAAAGTGTTGCTTTGTGCATTAGTTTGCCAAAATGAGGACTGGAAAATGAATGAAATCCTCTTGAGCAATGCAGTGTGAACTATGTGCCTCTGCTGCAAGGCCAAACCACATTAAATTGTCATATTTGCAGGAGGAGTTTGGTGAAGCAGTGTCTGCGTGCTTCTGCAGCTATGATCGCTATGCTGTGAATGTGTGAAGGCTCAGCGCTCTTCTCTTAATTACAGCCAAAACTGCCATGTTGGCGTGCAGTCAGCTACTGTACAAGCTAGCCAGCCACCCAGTGAGCTAGTCCGTCTGGACTCCCACACTGTTGGCCTGATCCAGCTAGCCTGCAACCAGACAGCCTGTTCCAGCATCAGCCTGCAGCTTGCAAGACAGCCAGCAGTGGGTCCTGTCGCCCAGGCTGGTGTCAGGTGCGCCGGCGTGAGCTGACCAGAGCTCGCTGAGCACCAGGGGAGACGGCTCCAGCTATCAGCAGGAGGAGGGGTGGAGCCAGGCTGTGCTGGTAAAACATGCATGCTTCAAAATAGTCACAATTTTGGATATTTCGAGCATACTGGTGCAAATGTTAGTCCTTTCTTTAAATACCACAAAACATGATTATTGAAATGTATTCATTAATATGTCAGAATCACAGCTCAAATCAACCTGAACCTTCATTATGCTGTGTCTGAGGTGTTGGTCAGACTGTCTGCATGTTTGTACCTGTGTGCACTGTGCAGCTGTGTTGCAGGTTTTATATGCGCCCTCCCTTCAAGGTTTCATTTTCAGATACGCAGCCTGAGCTGAACCATGACTGAGACCAAGAGCGGCGGGAGGCAGCTAAAGGGAGATATGGCTGGAAGTGAGGGAGTATCTGTGGAACCTTTTCATTCCCACAAAAATGTGAAAAAAAAGTGGCGCCTTCACTCAAGGCCAAGCCGCAGCATCGTGTGTGAAAGTGCAGCGATGTATTCAGGTTGGAGCGGGACAGAAAAGAAAGACAGGAAGGTGCTGCAGAATTTATGTGGAAGTAACAGAGAAATATGTGACGGATCCTCGGCACAGCAGTCGTGTGTTTTTGGACAACGGGCGGCTGAGAGGAGCTCAGTCCTGCTGAGGAAACTGCAGACTGACGCAACACTGCCACCTGCTGCTCACTGCAGCCTCAGACATGTAGACGCTCGTTTGTATCTGTACACGTTTCAAATACTGCAAAAAATCAAAGTCAGTAACAGATTTTTATTGTTACAAACCTAAAGAAAAATACTCGAGTAGTTTGTCTTTGCATCTGTCTTCACGCTTTAATCACAGACCTACCTCTTTACCACTCAGCGTGTCAGCAGAGACTGGTTTTGTTTCAGCACCATCCACTGCTGGTCTGCACACAATATCTCCACAGAGCCACTGCAGCTACTCGGCTGTGATTTCCATTATATTTGTTTTAATGAGCTCTGCTAGTGATCTGCTTTATTCATGTGCCCATCTCTTTATCTGCTTATGTTGGCTAGCCTGTCATTCAGTTTTGTGAAAGTGTTAGCATACAACACAATATCATTCAGATTATGGAGGCTATAGCTGTAGTATAAGACCTGCTATCATTAAGGATTACCGTTCTCCTGCTGTGGTTCATCTTTTGGGCACTTCTTCTTTGATCCTCCAGTTTCCTCTGATTTTTTAAGGACACACCTACTAAGACTTCTTAAGTCTTTTTGCTAGTAACTCTTAAGAATCATCTTGTTGGGGCTATTTCATGGATGACAAACTGTGTTATTGTTGAAACAACATGCTGCTAATAACAAAGTACCTAAAGATTGTCTAAGATCAGTTTATGCCGTGAGCACGTTTTTACCTAAAGTGATTAATAAATGACAGAAACAACCAAGCAAACACAAATCCTCTAAAACTGGTCAGACACAAAGCCTAGAAAATGAGTAAAAAAACAGTCGATGTCCAAAGAAAAACATGAACTTTATTCCTGCCACAGTGTAACATTTAGAAGATTTCAGATTAGACCTGAAGTGCACTTCCAGGAGATTATAGTTCAATTTCTCCCTTGTGCTTAAAAACTGCTCCTGCATTATCCTCTCATTCACTGTGTGTCTGCACTCAGGTTGTAATTGATGTGCACTCAGAGGCATTACAGGGCTTCACAAGCGTCTCACTTTCTCCCGTGTTTGTTGAGAGCGCAGCCACAAGAAGTCCTGAACATGCACTCGTCATATGAAGAGACGCGGCGCTCGCAGGCTGGAGCCAGCCAAAGCCGGGCATGTGTGTACATTTGTGTGGGTGAGACAGCAGCACAGCTGTGCAACACAGTGTGCGAGAGGCTAACAAGAGCCAACTGTCGCTGTGGCCACAGGATGCAAAGTCACATTAGTATGGGTTGTATGTGCATGTGACCACGAAAGCCACCCCAGTAGGTTTCTAATTGGCCACTGGAGATAAGAGGCTGGGTCACATACTGTAGCTTTGTGATGCCTCACTACCCCGAACCCTCGCTCTAACCCTCTTGATGTCCATCCTCGCCTGTCCCCTGTTCTCAGCTCCAGCTCTTCTGCAGTCCCTCTATTCATGTCCTATCTAAAAAGCCCTAATGAGCTCCCAGAAGGCATGGCTGCCACCCCCTCTTCTGCTGCTGGTGCACTAATGGGGTACAGTGAGCTTTTGGTAGGTGGCAGTATTGCCTCATATTCATGATAAGCTTTGGAGTTCTGAGAATGCACACAACAGCGTGACAACCAAGTCGCAACAGCTTCTGCGGCTTTCCTCAAAACCTGGACACTAAAATGTGATCTTGTTATCTGTCGTTCTGATTCTGTAGACTGAAGAGTTAGCAGGACACCTGCTGTCAGTCAGCAGCACCGGCATATCGATATTATCGATATTTGGATCAATCTGCCCGCCCCGTCAGTCAGAATTAGGTAGCCTAAAGTGTTAGCATAGAGGCTATCTTTAACCGCACACCAAACAACTAAAGATACTACTGACAGTAAAATTTATGCATAGCAGCAGTATTATAGCATCTATTACATAGATACGGTTTCAGGCTAACTCTTTAGCATCTTGTTAGATTTAATTGTAGAAAGTGTTGATGCCTGTGCAAAAGCAAGCTGTATGCTAACAGCAGCCATACAATGGTCACAACAAATGGCCTCAGTCCTCCTCCAACACTCTCCTTTGTTTTTATGTCATCTGTGTATCTTCAGGGTAGCACTGCTACAACATCAGACTTACACCACAGAGACAGAGTTAATCATGCATGCCAGTGTGTATATTAAAACTATACTAAGATCTGGTAATTACCTGGTTTAAAGTGAGGCAGGGAGTTAACACCAGGCCACATATCCTCAGAGGGAGTGCCAAGGACCTGAAACAGACACAAAGAAGGAAAAGTGATGATTAGGATCATGTTAACCTGACGGAGAATGACGCACATGTTCTTTATAAGCATTTGCATCATATCTGTTTTAACTGCAAATATAACAGGTTACTTTGTGGTTAAACGCAGTGCATAAAGTTCTTCATATGTTAGCGCTCACATAACGCCTGCCTGAGGTATTACAGCTGACTGCTGATGTGAGTTCTCATGATAAACTTCCAGTACAAAGGCGTCTCCTTTCTTTTGCAACAGTCACGATAAGTGCATCTTTTCTGGGAAATGGAGCTCTCACGCACACAACCTGGCTTTAGGGTGATCGAATACAGAGCAGCGGACATGCCTTTGACGTGATCCATCATACCATAACAACATAATAGCTTCCAGATTGCCTGCTTGGTCTGATCTACAACAAACTCATATGGTAGAAGTGTGGAACTGCTGCATGTCTCCTCCCTCCGTGCAAACACACAGTGTAGGTGCACTGTGGGATAAATTGGTTTCAGATGACAGACAAAGAAAAGCAAAAATTGAGAGTCTCTCCACAACTTTATGTGATTAAACAGCTGATGATGCTTCGCCCATTCCTTTGACTCGGGTGTGTCGCTTTAGTGACTCAGATTCTCAACAGTTCCAAAACACAACAAGACAAATGATGTGCTTAAAAGGACAATATTTTATTTAATCAAGAAAATCAAAAGCATTTCTAAAAGGTCTGGAGCTTGTGTGTGGACATTAATGCTTTAGTCTAGTTGCAATAATAGAAACGTCCACCAGACGGCACTAGGGGACCATAAAGCAGCCTGGAGTGGAACTTGAGGAAAGGTGGTTCCACACTGAACTTCATTAAAAATGTTTCACCGTTGCATTTCTAAATGTGTTTGGAAGCAATGTTCACACAAGGTAAGACTCTGGCTAAGAACAGAACAACACTGACTGCTTCATCGCTGAAAGCAGTACAAAATCCTTCAGTTAGTCCTCACCACTGACCTCCATCGTTAGATCTGTCTTCCACTAACGCTAGGTCAGTGAGCATCACCTGAAAACTGCACTTCCCCCTGATAGAAGCTGTCAGAGAATGGATTTCTATGAGCGTGTTCATGATAAGATGGGTGGGTGGGTTTAGCAGGACATGAGGTCGTGAGTGTTAGAGGGGTGACTGGAAGGTGAACGAGGGGCCACGTGACAGGATCTGAGTTTGGCTGGCAGAGCTGGAGTCATTTTGCATTATTGATGTATCAGTTCTGTGGCCTTTGAAGTGGAGAGGGAGAGCTGGGTGGAGGGCTGGATGTGAATGTCAGAGTCTTTATGAGGACATCATGCCGGGGAAGCAGACGAGCAGCAGCACAGCTCAGGGTCTAGTCAGTCATCTGTGAGCTCGCTTAACACTTCTCCGTGGTGGTCCCTCAACCTGATGATCAATAACCCCCAATGAACAATGAACACAGTACAGCTAATGTGCTATAACAATAATGAGCATGAGATGAAAGTGTGTGATGGTTGTAGGGTGGACGATGGAGGACACGCTGATCGAAAACTGTTTAAGACTTGCTACAATCTCATAGTCTGCAGATCGTCTCCAGTTCACAGATCTTGTTGTTAAGCTATCAATACAGCTGTTTCACCACATAGTAGTCATGTTTTACTTTTTAACTCTTTAATGGTGATGATGATGTTTGACTTCATCACTGCCACTGTGCACGACGATGCTCTTTTAAAGACAATAGACCACATGTGTGCACAGCTTCACGGCTCTCGGGCACATTCTAAGCTCAGTCTTAATGTGATGACACAAGCAAAAATGGAACAAAGGAGGTCAGTCACAAGGACCTACTACTTTCGCTCCAAGGCTTTTCCAACTTCAGCGCAGAGATGGATGTTTTGGACAAATAACGGCTGCTTGCTTCCTGTGGGGCACAATCCCCCCTCTGTATGTCCCACATGGGAAAATAAAACCCCACACCCCTCCATCTTTGCTCAGGCAGTAGATTGTCATGCCTGCACATATAGAGTAATGGATATATGAAACAGCCTGCTGAAATGGAGGACGGGATAATCCATCAGGGGGGGCAGGTTTGGTCTCTACATCTCTGAATATGAGGGAATGTGTGGAGAGTGTATGGAGACAAAGACAGAACATATAAAGAGACTCCCTGTGAGGTCACAGGTCACAACCCTGCACGCTGCACTCATACTCTGCCACACATACATATAATAAACCCCCCAGCAGCGAGGTTACAGACCACCCATTTGGCCAGACACAAACAGTATGTCTGACCTTCACACAGCGACGCTCTTAATTCTGTTCATGCTGCCAGACAGAATGAAGAGGTTAGAGAGACGTGGCGAGACAATGAACGGGTCAAACAGGCTCCTGGCAGTGAACAAGACAGCTGGCATATCTGGGATGGGTTATGCTTAATTTGCGGTACAGCGTTGTGACCGTTGGGATAGATATCTGTCTATGGAGAGCCTACAGGGAGGCCACAGAGGAGCGATGCAAATGTGCACCTGTGCAGTCCAGAGTTTATCAAGAATGGGAGAAACATCGGAGAGAAAAACATCAGAGAGTGCAGAGGACGCTTTTCAGTGGTTCTCATTGAACGTTAGGAGCTCGCTATTCGCAGTGGTTGGCTGATGAACCAACAACGGCACAAGCCAGCGTCGCCCACACATAGGGTTGCATTAGGGTTGCCAACCGTCCCTTAAAAAACGGAATCGTCCC